TAAAACTGATTTACTTTTTTTTTTTCAAATGACATCTCTTTCTTTTTGGATGCATTGTGACTACTGTTATTAGGTTTCTGAGATGTCAGAACTTGGAATTTTTGTTTTGACTTTTTGACCAAAGTTCTCTTAGACCATTTGAATCTTATCCAAAGTCTTGGACTTGCACTGTAGTTGATACAGGGAATCAGTGGAGTCGAGGAGTTACTTCCAGGAGGCGCTTTGGAGTGTCAGAGAAGGATGATTGATGTATGTATGTCTTATTTAACTACACGGTGACTCGAAGCAAACTAAGCTACTGAATTCTGCTTTTCAGTTAAGTCCCAACAATTATGTGAATTTAATAAATGTTTTATTATGTAGATTTAATAGTTTGCATGATGAGTCCTCAGTCTCATAGTAACGCTTTGTGGGAACTGCTGTAGTGTAAGAACAAACATGCACTGTAATATAAATGATTAGTTTCAAGTGCAATTTGAGTTAAAACAATGCAGCTACTTACTGTACTACAGTACAGTTGAACACTCCTTATTGAGCAAGATTAAATGTTTTGAATTGAAATGGTGATAGTAAGAGTTAATTTGTTGGTGTAATGCAAGTGGTGAACACCAATGATTACTCTTCTGTCCCTACATCTCCTTTAGTGGTTCAGATTTGTGATACATTGAACTAAAGTTAAATTGCGACCAGTGATTCTAGTTCTGTTATGACCCTAACAAATCATTCATGATGCGTAAAATTTGTAGACAGTTGGGGTCCAAATAGTGAAGTCATACCCAGTAGCTGATAGTGATAGGATATAACAGAAAATAAGGCTTCTGTGTTGTTATCAAGGTGCCAAACTGCTGATCATAGCATATGAAAACTTGTAACTTTTCCATGGAGATGAACATTTACCTTTTTTAACTAGCATCCTTGCCTAATATAGGCCCTTCACAAAGCCTTTTACAGAACCTTTATATAGAAACTTAATGCTGAAATATTTGGTTAATATAGTTTGAAGAATTTAATGGACTGCTTGATAATTGTTTCAGAACATAATGCTCCTTGCAATAACATTTGAAGAGGGCAGATTTTTGTGGTGGACTTTTAAATTTTAATATGCAGTCATGACCTTCTAGTGGTATCATAGAGTCATGTTCTGTGTAATTGCAGAGTAGGTTTTATTAACCAGATTTTTAATAGGATAATATGGCTCTCAAACCAAAGATATTAGTAGGAGTCTGTGCTTCATGTTGAAGGATTGATTTAATTAATACCAAACTACAGTGAAGGACGTGAAGCGCTGTCATTTTTGATGTGTGGTTAAGACTTGGTCACACTTGCTTGATAAATAATATGAGTCTCTTTATCAAAATGTTATATCAAATATAATTGGGAAAGATGTTTCTCCTATACTTGTTTAACATAAATTTAAATATCTTTCTAAGACCATAAAATATAGATTTGTCTTTACATATTCTTTAAAGTGAATTTTTAAAAAAATTAAAATTAAAAAGAGAATTAAAAACTGTCATTCAATACCAGTGCCAAAGTATATGCTTCATTTAGTGGAATAAGTAATAATATTACAGATAGAAGTTTGATAATGGTCAAATTAAATATTTAATAGGAAATTGCATTTCATTTTGTGATTTTTTTCATGCAAAATAATTTGCCGTTTGACCCATGGTGGGGTTGGGGATCCTTCCTGGATTGCAGGCAGAAAGTAATTGATTCTCTTTGTTTCTGATATGGGAGGTAGCTACAATTATGACTTTACATATTTCAGTATACTGCAGTATCTGTTCTTTAGGCAGTGCTTGTGGAGCAATCAAGCATAATTTTTCATATGAATGTTGAACTGATTGGTTGGACACTTTTAATATTTAAAAGTCTATGTGACAAAGGAAGCCATATGAAATTTTTCAATTTTAACCATGGAATTTTGGGGGGGACCAGTTACAACAGTTATGTTGGAGCTCTGTTTTGAATTTAAAAGTAACATTGTTAGATTTGTATAGTGATTTGAAATGGGGTTGTTTCATAAACCTTTCTTTGCAGGGACAATGTTCTGAATAATTTTCTCATTTGTCAGAGGAATAAATTTTCATGATGCAAGCAAACACAAATTTTTACAAAATTTAAATTCTTATTCTTTGCAGCAAAGCTTTTTGTTATTTTTAGATCATGCTTTAGTTATTCAGCTAGCAAGCTGCATCAAACTAAATAGTATTAACAGTCCCTTTTACTACCTTCAAAACCTATGGCTATTTTTACATCACTTAAACTACTTTATGGGGGGGTAGTATCTAGTAAGGGATACAATGACAATTACATGCTATCACTTTCTCAATTACCAAGACAAACTGTGAAATCAATATCTTAATGATAGAAGTTGGGGAGAGGGTGGTTTGTTTCTAACACTTAAGGTCTCTAGGAATGAAGAAGGGAGGGAAACAACACTAAGAAATCAGCAGAAGGATGATTGAATTGTAGCCTACACAATTGTTCAACTTCCTAGTCAAATAATGACAAACTGTGTATATACAGCCACATGAAAAATTATGCAGTGCACTAAACTAATTATTAACCTTGCTATGTCATCTGTGCATTCTTTGTATGGTTTGTTTTGTATATAAAGCTTTATGAAACTCTTTAATTGAATAATCAAATCAATCTTAGGTTATTTTTGCCTTTCAAAACTTTCTATATTCATGTAACATGGACCTGCTCTGGGTTGTGTTGCTGGTGGCTGTTGTCTCCTACACCTTGGTCTTATTTGTTGCAAGCAGTGAATGAGGTAGGGAACTTTATGAAGAGGAGAATGGTCTTGAGATATATGCAGTTGAATATTGCACTGGAGAAATGTATTCTATGTATGCTTCAGCAGTAGAAATGTGTGCACAATGCTATACCATTTGCTTAACTTGGCCTTTCCATGGTGTTCATCATTTTAAGAGCCCAACACGTGTTTTGTGATTTTCAGAAGTGTGAAACAATTTTAAAAAATAGATACGTGAACTGAGGTAGTTTGAAGTGGTGGTCTGAATAACTGTGGCATTTTCAGGATGGGAAGAAGGCTACAGATATAGCAAATTGACCTTCTGAGATTAATTGATAATTTTATAACATTGGTTTCTCTGTAGCTCCATTCCTTCTTTGTGGGAGGAGACTACTGAAGTGGTCTTACCTCCACAGGGAAGCTAAAACTAGAAAGTCATTATTGTGAAATTCTCTGATGCTTTCCAGCATGTCCAGATGTAATTTGTCAGCAGAGTTTGCACATATCAGGTTTTACTGGTGCATTTAATACTGATATTTCTGATCAAAGAATAACCTTGAAAAAACAGGAATTCTGAATACTGTTTTGGAGCATTCTAGTCACTCCTCTTCAGCTCATCTTCATCATGGTGTCTTTTACCCTACACTGCTTCTAATATCCACTCTCAGTGCTTTATCCTCTCTATTTGATAGTTCTTTCTTTACCTTTTTTATATGTTTGAGTCCCAGCAGGGACTGAGATTTAATGCAACAGGGTAAAATGTTTGCCTGTTCAGTACCACAAAACTTAACAGCCTGAAGCATTTCCCTGAATCAGACTGGACATACTCAAAGTATCTAGAATGTAACTGCTACAGTTGCACACGAAGGTTCTCTGCAACAGCCTTGAATAACATAGTTGGAATTTATTTATTTATTTATTTTAATCTGCTTACTAGAGCACTACCAATAAAAAAATGTTCCTTTGGGGGTATGGTTCAGAAACTTTAGGGATCAGTAATTTAATGTATGAGAATTGGTACAATATATTTGAACTGAACATTTGTGTTAAGCTATTTGTATCAAAACATTTTCAGGATTAAGTCTGTAAACACTGCGTACGCTCTGTAACACTTCCTCTAGGTGACTTTAATTTAGTTGGAAATGGTAAATGTTGAGTTTTCAACAAAAGTAAACCTCCATCAAGACTCAGCTCAAGGGATAGAGCAAAATTGTAGTTGAGACAGAAGCAAGCTTTTGCTATTTCTCACTTAATGCAGTGCATTAGAATTATTTAGGGTGTTTTCATTATAGATGTTACTTTAGTAAGCACTGCCTATCAGAATGGAGACAGTATGTGACAATATAAAATGTCTGCAGTGATAATCAGTGTTAGTTTAAAGTGGGTGTGAAGCTTCTGTTTAACTAATTTCTGAAACAGTAACTTAATTCAAGTCCAGCCTGACTCTACAGCAAATATCCCACAGGCAGATTGATCTTTCGGGGAACACTGTCACTACTTTTACCTCAGTTTACACTTTCTGGGAATACTATTAGTATTTAACTGGAAGCTTCAAGCAGAGGTTGTAAGCCAAACTGTTTCTGACTTGTCACTTCCTTTCACTTCCCTATTTCTCTTCCAATCATAGAGACCCCCAGGAAGAGAAACATTAGAAAGTATACTTTGAAAGCAAATAGAAAAATATTTACATGCTGTGTAATCATTTGCATCACAGTGTATATGCTATGTCATTTGGTGGGGACAAGGTGGGATTATAAAGTTCTCAGTACCTCCAAAAAACATTTAGTTTGCTGCAAAGCAACAAACATGTTTTGTAATCCTGGATATGTAAATTTTCACATTAAGAAATTATTTGTATTTATTAAATTTAAACAAATTAAGTTGTTATAGAAGAACTTGGATATTTTCTGACTTTTGAATGCTTTTTTTCCACTAGGTTTTATTATGTAAAATTCAAGCTGCAGATTAACTTGGAAAAGCTTAGTGTTTTCTCCTTTTTGAAGGGCAATGACAGAGTTCAAAATCCTTTGAGCACATGAGAGCAAATCCTTTAATTTGAATGTTTCCTACCTGGTTGGCATTGAGAGTTTTGAAGTGTTCAAAGGGCTGTATGATGCTATATGAACACCTTTGTTCACCCAGAAGAAATATATGCACATGCTTCTGACTGTAGAATGCAGGGTTTCTTTTCAGTTCCCTCCAGTGAGACTGATCAGCACTTTTATTTGTCCTGCAGGGGTTGTTCAGAACTTTGTCGTATACCCATGGTGGAATACAAACTTGACAGTGAAGGCACCCCATGTGAGTATAAAACCCCTTTCAGAAGGAATACCACTTGGCATCGGGTGCCGACTCCCGCTGGGCAGCCTCTCTCTCGTGCCTCTCCAATCCTAGGAACATCTGACAGACTGCAGTGCCAGCAGCTTCTCCAGCAGGCTCAGACAGCCATTCCTCGCAGCACTTCCTTTGATAGAAAACTGCCAGATGGTGCAAGGTAATATACTCTCTGTTTAATGCCTGTCATTTTCCTAATGTGCTACTTTCAATATCTCTGTTTCCTAGAACTCCTGTATACTTATTTTTTAAACCTTATTTTGTTGAGTTTTGACAGTAGTTTTAATTCTGAGGCTCTGTTAAAAAGCATTCAATAAGCCCAGTTCCCTCTACTAGAAGCAAGTGATTTTGTTGTTTGTGATGGAAGTGGACTGTACTGAGGATCCCACTGCTGAGGACAGCTAACCTTTCCCTTTAGTCCCAAATCAATGGGAATCAACTCAATGGGAAACTGACTTGTGAATTTTTGATCTAAACAATGTCCTGTTGCCCACCTTTTGGGACCCTATTTAAACAAATAATGAGTGTAAATAAAATGAACTCATCCCTTTTAAAATGAATTATTTAATCTCATTACCAAGCTTTTGGCATAGTTTCAAAGGGTTCTGTAACTCACTACCAGCCCTAATGCTTGGCTTTGCATTTAATTAAACAAAGCAGAGCTTGTGATTTGAATATGTAACACCTCTTAGATGATGGGCTAGTATCCTTAAATGTTAGCTCTGTTCTAATTTAATCATAATTCTTCTTAAGATAAAAATTTATTTTTAAAGTTAAAAATTTGTACATACATTTGAACTTTTAATTATTTAGGAAAACCATATGTCTTGAGCAGAACTCTCTGTCCTTTATTGTTTCAATTATTTCTGCTTATGCCCTTTTTTCATGGGGTGATGTAGGTCTAATTTCCAAATTAAATACTGCTACATGTTGAAAATATCTAATTGATATGAAAATCTAATATACTGGTCTTAAATAGCTTAAAAAATTGTGGATGAAATAATGAAAAACCACTATTTCTACAGTATCTATCTTAGTAGAAAAGAATTAGTGACTTTTTACATTGCTTGAAATATATACAGGCAATAGTACATATTTGAAAATATGTCTATATCATGGTCTGAGGAAGGCAGACTCCCATTTATGACCATTTGATCATTTGTCTTCTCCTTCTCTGCTACTGCCCTCCTCACCCCCTGAAAAAAGAAGAGGTGCATTTCTGTAAGCATGTATATACCATAATAGCACTTAAGCTTTTCCTAATGTCTTGCTACTGAAATTCTCGGTAACATCTAGTGTAAGGAGACAATGTATCAAATGTCTAGAAATACTTCAGGATTTATGGAGCTATATTAAGCTTATTGTATGCCTATACAGAGAAAAAATGAAAGTTTTCTGACATACTACTCATTTCCAAAAAACTTCACAAAGATAAGTTATGCTTTTCTTAACACTCAGTGAAGCATGTGAAACAATGCTAAGACAGAGGCAATCTCTTGCCGTGAAGTAATACCTGTATCACTTAAATAAAACAAGTGCAATACAGAAGTGCTGTTCTGGGGAAGACGTGGTACAGAGTATAAATAGTGAGGAGAGAGGAGAATGATGAACTGTGACATGTGTATCTTGAAACATGAAAAGAAAGGTACCTAATTGGCAAAGTCTTTCCACAATGGGAAGAGGTATAGTTGATGGCTTGGCACGGAGATGGGCTTAAAACAAAAGAGTTTGAAGGTTGATTAGCACTTATAAGTAGTCTTGCAAGGTTGAAGATTTATACTCAGGCTAGGAAAACAATGAAGAAATTTTGGAGGGTCAGAGACCCAATATCAATTTAGACCAATTGTAGAGTGCAGACAAGGAGAAACTAGTTGATAAAACAGGGAAGTTGTCACAACTGATCTGAAAATGAGGTAGCATTGAAGTCAGTGATAAAATGGTTGGGTTTAGAGATAAAAAGGAAGAAGCAACAGTAATGTGGGCTAGAAATAGTAAAAGACTTAAGCATCAACATTTCAACTACTGTGACATGTAACAGTTAAGTGCCCAGTCCCTGGAGTGAAAATTAAAAACTGGGAGCTGAGCATCTATGCACCTAGTACAGTTCCTGAGGAGAGTTAAGTGCTTTGAGAAGGCACTCCAAATGTTTTTGTGGTGATCAAGGAGTATCCTCTAATTAGTCACTAAGAAATACAAGGATATCCTTGAGCTCTACTCCTGCTTTTACAAAATGCCCAATTCTGTGACAGCTGCTATACCAAGTGCCTAAGACTGAAACTTCAGTCAGACTCAGTCTTCTGTTTTTTCACACCAAGAAGTCTCTGTGTATTTTAGTCCTGGAGTTGCACTTGTAGGCTTGTCCTTTCACTTGGAGTCTGAAATCCATTCCTGAGAGCAGATAGCTACAGCTCTTCTGTAAAGGAACTGTGTGAGGCATTCACTGACTGAATTTCTGTGGTTCTCTGTTTGTAGCCACCTTTTGTTTAGTAGTCTAATCGCTAGACACTTGTCCAGCAAATGAGAGACTTGGGATCTAGATATTTGTCAGTCCTGGTTTTGAGGACAATGTCCTAAACATCAGTTTGGAGGCTGGAAACACATGGGATCATAACTTACCCATTCCTTAATGCTGATTCAGTTAAGCTGTGCAAGAAATGCAGAGTTCTTGGTCATAAGAAACAAGAACATGCAACTGAATTCAACTGTAGCCTATGATTTCATTTCATTGAGAGAGGCTCAGTCCTGTCAATACTTACCACAGAGATACATGCTGAAAAATTAGGCACTACACTATCTGCTAACTGTATATGTGTTTGAGTGTTAGACAAAATAGAATACATAATCTCTTTTCAAGATGAGCAGTAGGGTTTCTTATTGAATGTCATTTCCTTGAGAAAGGGTTGTGCATAAATCCAAAACTACCTATTTTCACCTCTTCCCTGAGTACATATATTCATTTTTACATATAGCGTAAGAAAAAAAAAAAAGATATGGGGAATTCAAGGTAATGTCACTGAGGAAAGTTGTGTTTTAGTTATGGACTGATATGCACAGAAGTGAAGGATAGGAGTGTGCTCAAAACCAAATTTGAACATTGCATTTCAACTGTTAGTCGACCAGTCAACTGGTCTGGAAATCCAAGGAGAGTAGAGACATTGTTAAGACATGAGGCTCAAAAGTTTAAATAGTAAGTACAAAATAATACTATTCGTGATAATGTTTTCTTACTGCTTTTCTATGTCAAAGACTTTTTTTTTTTTTAAAGTATTGGTATTACCTCTTCTAAATTATTATGATGAAAAAAGGAGTACATGCAAAGCCACTAACAATCATTTCTGATCCATCATGAGAGTTTTTTACATATAAATTTAGACACCTAATCCAGCTACTCTGACTTCTGAGTAATCCCACTTGTTCAGAAGTAAATCTAGATGTAAGGAAATTAGGATTTGGCACTTAGTCTTTCTCTTTTTGTGCCTTTTTGATATATTTGGTTGAAAATATTTTCTTAGTGATGAAGTAAATAGTATGCTTTAAAAATACATTTTTAAGTTTTATGAAACTAAGATAAAACTCTAAATTCCCAAAATTAATACAATTAAGTGTTCATACTGCATCTGCATTATTTATAAAAATGAATGTATTTCATAAAAGAAGCACAGCCCAGTTCAATCTGAAACCCCACAAATACCTCAGTGCACTGTTATTGACTCTAGTCAACATTGCAGAAGTTCTCCGAGCAACCAGTCCTCCTCCAGTGACCCAGGACCCAGCGGGAGCAGCCAGTGGAGACAGCAAGTGGGATATGATGGGTATTGGTGATTTTTTTTTTTTTTTAAATTTTGCTATAGCTCTCATGCATCTTCTTTCTGAAGTAAATATGTGGATGCTCTATATAATAGATTTATTTGTAAACTGTTAGTATATTCTAACACAAACAGATTTTCTGATCTTTAACATAACATGTATGCCAATGCAATTTTAAAGCCATACTGCTTTAACTCTTTAGGACCAAACTATTACTTTACAATTCAGGTAAATAACAAACAGTTTTTAGGTTTGCTTTCTCAGAAACAGGCCAGAAATGAAATAGTAACTCAGAACTGGGATAAAACAGTAATATCTCCTCCTTTTGCTTCAGTGGAAGGGTATTTGATTTTAAAAAATATCTTTATGGTCTCCAAAGGTTTTATTTCCTACTGTTCTTGCTCCAGTGGCATCCATTCCTCAGCATCTCTTGTCAAGAAAGTAGCGCTATTTTAGAGGTCTCTTTTCCCTAAAAGGCTGTTGTGGCATATAGATGGTTCTCTCACATCCCTGTTAATCCCTTGGTGCTGAAGTTTCAGCAGTAACTATCTGTGTAGAAAAGAACGCCCCAATATACTGTACATGTTATATTGTGTGAGGAATCTGTTCTAAATTACTTTAAAGTTATCACTTTGTTGTATAAATATAGCTGCTAAAAATACTCCTGTTATAAAATATATAGCATACATAGCATAATATAAAACCATTCCAGACTTGCCATGTGGCTTTTAGAAGCTACTTTTCAGAAAAAATGTGATTAAAAGTATCAGTGTGACTCCTTGTCTATAAGCTTAACATTGCTTTGGCATGATGATTTGTCAAGATATTCCATATAGCAGATATATTTACAATATCTTGGAGATGTCTCAAGAAATTTCAGAATACTCACTGAATTCTCTGACAGCTAAATAGATGCTAATATTTTTTTAAAAAACCTATAGCAAATATTTTTACATTAAACACATCAAAATGCATCTTGTGTCATTTTTCCAGCACAGTTATTTCTAATAACAACCTTGATTTCAGTGTGTTGCTTATTGAAATAATTTAACTTTTGCAATACAATACAAAGCAATGGATCTGGTACTAGCTTACGTGTTCTGAGTATGAAAACCTGAAAAATTATAGTTACTTTCTGTGAGGCTTAGTTCATAAAGCAGTAAAGCATACATTACCATAACTCTCTATTGCAAAAACCTTTGGATATATAGCCCTAAGAATGCATTTATTTTTAAAGTTCAGTGTCTTCTTGGCCTGTTCACATTTAAGATATAACAGTGTGCTATTGAAAAAATTACATGTAAATATTTCCATGCAGAGTTTGGAAATGTTACTATACTTGCTTGGGGGGGAGGCTGGTGATTGTTTAAACAAATCACAAAATATTTTCTTTGAAGCCTAAAGTGTTGCTCATCAAGTAACTAGTTTCTAAGAAAAAAACCCAAACAGATTAATTTTCTGCTTACATTAAAAGGTGCCAGTCCCCTTTGCTTCATGAACACCACCAAGGTTCAGGCTCACTGGAGTGTGAAGGAGGCAGAGAACGAGAGGAAACTCTGGAAGGAGCTAGACATTCCGGTAATAAAAAACTCCGTATCTTAAAAATAAATGTTCTTTGCAATACTGTGCCTGTTGAAGTGCGGCCACCTTCTGATGCGAAGGTTTGATACAAAAAGAGCATGTAATATGACAGTGAAAGTGAGGACTGTTACAGACAGTCTAACAGAATAGGTGTGGGATATTTAGATAATACTTGGAACCATCTACTCCTGAACTTCAGAAAGCCTCATGAATTATGAGAAGCAGGCTGAACTTCACTTATTTTTCACTGAAAAATTAGATCTTAGGAAATTCTGTGAAGATACACATCTCTTGATTCCAAAGAGTGTACATGTTTGAAACCTGATGTTAAGCCATGTACCTTTTTTCTTTGTATCATATACTCATGTTTTTAGCATTCAGAAATTAAACCACAATTATTTATGGCAGAAACCAAGTGGCATGCACCATCGACCAAAGTCCTGAGCTCCTATAAAGACCGGGCTTTACAGAAAGAAGGCAGTGGCAAGGAGTCACCAAACAAACTTTCACATGTAAGTCTTTTACTTGGATGTCATTCAAAACTCTAAAAAAAACCCAACAAACAAACAAACAAACAAACAAAACCCGAAAACAACCCACCCCCCAACCGTGGACTTAAATAAATACATCTTAAAAATACATTTTTAGTAATTTGTGAAGACCACTGTGTGTTTTGGGAGACAAAGAGTATGCTCACCTAGATGGTGAATCTAGGGTGAATTGAGTATGCTTAATCTGTGTTTATAAATTAAGAACTCCAGAAGGGCTTGGGTCTGAGGCATTGAGGAGAGAAAACTAGTATAGTCTACACTCAGCTGTGTATTTACAGCTTCATTTATACTGACTTGCTTAATGTGTGAAGTATTTCATATCCTATTAAAAAAAAAAATTATATTCACCATACTACTTTTCATGTTGTGTGAAATACCCATGTAGTATAATTATCAATAAACACTATAAAAATGTCATTTGTATGTTGGGAATGCTGAACACATTTCTAGTATACCTAGTTTAGTGACTTGACTTCAGTAATGGCAAAATCCTCAATGACATAGTGATGGAAAGTACACTAATGATATGCAGAGTCTTCTGGGTTTTTTGGTGTTTGTTATGTGGGAAAACCTGCTATATGTAGTAGGAATCTGTACACTATTTGTAGACTTATATTGGTAAGAATATGAGGCCAGTTTCTCATCTTATGTATATTGATACTTTATGAGAATCTAGCTTGATACTTCTCAAAAAAGTACTATCATAAACAGAATTACTTTCTTTTACCTTAAGCCAAAGTTGACAGAAAGCTAGAATCAGTATATGTAACAATCAGTATTAAACAGAGCACTAATACCAGTTAGATGATGAGTTTGCTTAACTTCAGAGTTTTATGCTAATAGCAGCTATCATGCATTTAGGATGGTGAGGTTCTGAACAGAAAATTTCATAATGGACTTAGGTTTGTGTTTGTCTGCTTATGCATATGTGTAGTGCAGGTGCAAAAAAACTATATTGTACGAAGTGAGAACCAGCATTATTATAAAGATAATACTAATAAAATAAGGCTATTTTTTTGTTAGATACTGTAAAACAGAAAAAAAAGGTCCTTCTTAAGGACCTTGTAATGTTCTCTTGTGCATGCCATCAGCTCAGTTTACCATATGACTCTCTGCCAGCCAGTGAAATTCACACTGAGCGCTACAGCAAATGTACAAGAACTCTGCAAAATGTTTAACCATTGGAAAAAAATGTGTATGCTGTCTTTTTATCAGCTTTAACTTGGGGGAAAGAGGGTATTTCAATGGGGGAATTTCAATGGCTATCTTCCAGCTCTTGTTCTCCAGGAATAAATATCATATTCTTGCTGGGTTTTGGTTTGATTTGTTTTTTTGGGTTGGTTTGTTGTTTGTTTTAGTTTTGTTTTTAAATCTTGCTCCACAACACATTGTTTCACAACATGTAACAATTAGGGCCATGCTGAGCTTTCATACAATAATTTTGTTTGGCACAAGTTAATGGATAACATTACCCTAAGCTATGGCCATAGTGAACTTTGAGCAGTTCAGGATGTCTATATCAATAGTTGTCCAGATTCTCTGCTGCCTGCAGGGACAGAAAGGTGCCTAAGCGTGTATTTTCAGCAACACACAGGAAATTTTTGGGAAGGTTCATCCATACAATATGTCTTCTGAGGCTAATTATATGCCTTTGAGCTTGACCCCCGTTTCTTTCCAGTTTGGTTCCATTTTACATTTACAGTAACATTCCTTTTCTCCAGACACCTTTCTCCATGTCCCTCTCCTTGGAAAAACTGCTCATTGTATTTTTATCAATTGTCCCATTGTTTTTAAGGTGACAGCCACCTTGTGAAGGTTAGAATGAATGCCAGTATAACCCCTTCTTTTTTTCTAAAATAATTTTCTCAATTTCCTGTTAATTTCCATTTGGAATAGAAGTATCATTTCTGGAAAGGCTGCCTTGTCTAATTGCTTTAATGTGTGAGCAACAGCTATGTTTATATGCATCTGCTAGGAATGGGATCTCATAAAAAAGTTATTCACCCACTTAGATTCTAACTAATAGAGGTCCATCTGCCCTTATTCTGGCTACTCGGTCACATAGTTAAATTAATCCAACTCTCTGTAAAACCTTTTTTAAAAAAAACAAACCCTCCCCCCAACTTTATTGACACAAATGCCTGATATAATTCTTCCACTTCAATAGCCATGCTTAGCTTAGGGCCCTGTGACAAGTTACTTTGATCTGGTACACATACATCACAATTGGCTTCAATTTAACTAGCCACACATCCAATTGGATTTGATCCAATAAACTGCAAATTTCACCCACACTGGGAACAAGCCAATGATAATTCAGTCTTCGATGTTTTTCAGATTTGCAGTAGAACTTGTTTAAACAAATAATTACTAGTGCTTCTAGCTTTTAAAAATGCTTACTTTTAACTGTTCAGCAATGCAATTTTATGGATGTTAAGCTGGTCCTATAATCAGAAAATTCAAGTGTGATCTTAAGATTTGCCATAGAAGATGGAACTAGAGCCTTTTTATTTGCAGTGACATCAACCTTTAATGTGTTTAGCCAGCTGTGCAATTCATTTCATAGAAACTGATGGTATAATTAGGTCTTTTCATATTTTACAGTTATATTATAGCATACTGTAAAAAAATAACAAAATGGTCTTTGAATGTCACAAATCCATTAATTTATATGAAAATAAATATTTTACTATTTAACTTGAGGGGGGGCTTTTTTTGTTTATTTTCTTGTTGTTAAGATTGGAGACAAAAGCTGTTCAAGCCACTCAAGCAGCAACACCCTATCCAGTAATACATCCAGCAACAGTGATGAAAAACACTTTGGTTCTGGAGATCTGATGGATCCTGAGCTGCTTGGATTAACATATATAAAGGGGGCTTCTACTGACAGTGGAATTGATACAGCTCCCTGCATGCCTACTCCTCTTCTGGCCCCTTTGCACCTTGCTGGCAGCAGGTCTGGAGTACATTGTCGTACTGAGCAGTGGACCGAGCCTTCTGAAACTCCTGGGCCAGATGATGATCCAGCTAAAATCTATGCTGTTCATAGCTATACCTCTGCTATTTCTACCAGTCATACAGCTGAAGGAAGTATGGGAGACCTAAGTGAAATCTCCTCTCATTCCAGGTATGTGTTTCTTACAAATTAGCGATTGTGGATTATAGATTAACATATAGAGAATCTTTTTCATTGTTGTTATTATGTTTACCTTTCTTTGAAAGTGGACTTAACTGATTTTGATTTTTTTTTATTGTTTTTAAATGCCTATATGAGCAATTTGCAGGCAATTTTTGATGAGTCTGCCTAAAATGCATAGCTAGCCCCACTCATATCCAATGGAGACTATATGTGACCTTCTGCACATTGCTAAGGTTTTTAAAGCTGGGAAACATCCCTGAGTAAAAGTCAAGTTTTCACCTAGAAAATCAGAATTGCAATGGACAACTTTTACACACAGTGATGGACAATTTTTACATACAGAGAAACTTAATTGCATACCCCCCCCCCCCCCCCCAATTTACATTATTGTGATGTATGCTTTACAGTTTTGTTTGTTGAATTGAATTTCTGATTGATTTTCAGCTCTTCTTTTTTTTACCAATGGAATGTGTGCATGGTCGTTGTGGATTGAGCTCAGAGGGCAACATCTGTTGTAAAGCAGACTTTGAAAGTACACTTTTACAGCTGGTTGCCTTTATCTCCCAATTCCCATTTTATGGTGACTTTGAAGTTTTGGTCTATATGTTAAGGTTTTTACTCTGTAAAGGATGGAAGGAAATTGTTTGTTCTTCTTTCCCTCTGATTTTCATATTTTCAATGTCAATCAGTACAGAAATATAACCAAATAATATTTTGTATCCTTGTTTCTTCATATGTTTGACATGAGTGAATTAGTCTTGTATACTTATTCTGACATCTAGGTTTTTTTCACAAGTTGTGGAAGATATTATAGACTATTGTATAGACTATTGTGAAAACTAAATAAATGCTTTCACATTAAGCTTTTAAGATTTCACTACCCCTGAGATACTGCAGAAGCTCCAGATTTACTCTGCTTTGTGTGTGTTGAGACAATTTTATGTATTGAGTCTTCTAAAACACTAGAAATAAGCTCCGTGTTTCTAGGACTTCATCATAATGAGCTGAAATAGATTTCTTACGGTTAGAATATGTATTCTCAGCACTTGTGTGGCAGTTGTCATATTTAAAGTGCCAGGCAGCCATTAAGTCACCTACATTTTACAGATAACTAATTTTTTTTTTATTTTTTTTTTACATATGTATAGCTTTTAAGTGAATTTACCTAGGCATTTCCAAATTAGTAATCATTGTTGAGATGACAAATCACATTAGGATTGCCCAATTCCACTTAGGCCCTAGCAATGTTTTCAAATGATCATCATCTAATTTGTAAGCCAAATCCTTTTGCCATAGGAAAATGTCAAACACATATTATGTGACCTAACTGTTTTATTTAAACTTTGGTTACATATCCTACACATTACATTGGAGTGATAAATAATTTTGCAGTTGGGTTTAAAAGCTGACATCACCTATACAGCACCCGCAGGCACACATTAATAAAAAATATCTCATTTTATAGCTGTGATGCTGTGACACTGACGTGTTTAAATAGACATAAGATAGTTAACATAAAAGCATGTGATATCTGCTGCTGAATCTGATACATATTTTCCAGCTAGTCAGACACTTGAGTTTGTATTTCTTCATAATCTATAATGATGAAATTCTAACACTATTGAGGCATTCATTCACAATTCTTTTTAAGAATGCTAAATAGTAAACTTGTTCTGCAGTAGCTGAACAGTGTAAAACTTCAAGAAACAAGCCCACGGACTGGTGGAATGTCATTGATCTATAAATGCCACATTTTAAAATTAAAATTGTATTCTGTTTACTGAATAGATAAAGTGCAATGCCCAGGAAAGATGTTGGTTTGTTGAAAGATACTGCCCTGATTCTCTAACATCATCAGATAAAGAACCCATTGAAAAAAATAATACTATAGTGTCCAAGTAAGATTTACAGAATTATACCTGCTATGGGAAACAGTATCTCAAATTACAAGACTGACTTGAGCTATGCACAGCATTATGTCTCACAGCTCTGTTATTAATGGTTTTATCTGTCCTATTTTATATTAATTATGCACGTGAATTATCAAATACCTTCATGTTACTGCAGGTAAACAGCTTAGCTTCATTGCCTTTAGTTTTACTTTGTTTCTTACATAGAACATCCTTTGGATCCTAAAAATTTATACTTCATGTTCCAACCATTGCATTGAACTCATTATCTAAAACCAGGATTTTATATGCATTTTATTTCTTCACTTCAAAAATATTCCCTTATTTAAAACCTACAGAATTAGTTTGGATGCTCATTTTTTCCTAAATTTAGTTACAAATAGAAGTTTAATCCTCTGGATATCCTTGCTGTAAATCTAATATATATTTTACATTGTGCTTCAATGTTTGTTTCATCTTTAGAGTTCAGTTTTTCATAACTGAATTATTTTCTTCACCATAATTTCACATAATTTATTTGCGTATTTGCAAGGATAGCAAGAAAAAAAGCTTTTATTATCACCAACACTATTTCCTTCCTCCCAAAGCCTCATAATCTTGTTTCTACTTTTTGGGGAGGAAGAGAGGAGAGAAAATAAATTTGTTTTAAGATTAAATTAACATGCTAACTGTGATTTAAATTATTAATCCATTGCCTTAATGATTCAACTTTCTACCACAGTAGGCATTTTAATTTGATCTAATGACATCTATGCATGTGCATTGCTTGTATCTGATTCTGCATGGACAGCAAAGTAGCCATGTCTGTTACACTTTCAGCAACACCTTCTGGTCCTCTGTGAATTAACCCAGTGCTCTGGTGATTAGATTAAAAGATAGAATTGTGTTTTGTATTTGTAAGCCAACAATGAAAGTTAGGAGCTGCTGCTTCAGGTTCCAGACTCTAATTTCAGGCAAGGCACTTGGTTTCTGAATGCTTTGCTTACTTCAACTCTTAAGATGAAAAGAAGAAATTTATTCTTCAAGGAAGTGTTTTCTTTTGTTAATTTTAAATAATTTTGAGAGTCTTCAGTAAAAGGTTTCATTAGTGCCTACTAGTACTATTATTCATAATAAAAGAGGCTATTAAAATTATCCAGAGGACTGGTTTTGCTGAACTGAAATTTACTTCTGTTAATATTAAATTTTCAATAGTATTGAATGACAGACACAGCTTAAACTGGTGTGAACTGGTAAAATTAACATGCAGTGGAAAAGCATGTTGGTTAATTAGAGAGATATTTGGGGTTATTCCCCATACAGTTCTTTATGTAAATGGAATTAAACCATTTATAATGTGTGTGTACATGTTTACTTGAAATTTCACACAGAAATTCTAGATATGTCTTGAACTTAGTCTTTTAATTCATATCAGTTTGCACTGGCATTTCAGCAAGTTGAATTATATACATTACTTGTTTTAGAAGCTCATCACAATTCTGTTCTCAAAGAGCTTTGATGTATATGCTTCTGGTATGTATAAAATTATTGTGCCAGTATCACTACCTTGATTTTAACTGTGAGAAGAACTTAACATTAAGAATTATAGCTTCATACCAGGTGAAATGTTTTTGATTTATTGTTGTATAGCAGATTTAATTTTTCCTTTTGTGTGTTTTCTTTACTTTTTCAGTGGGTCACATCATTCAGGAAGCCCATCAACACATTGCTCTAAGAAGAGTGGCTCCCTAGATACCTCCAAAGTCTATATAGTGTCACAGAATAGTAGTCAACAGATTCCTGGGTCAGTTTCAAAACCATACCACAGACAAGGAGCAGTGAGTAAATATGTCATTGGATGGAAAAAATCAGAAGGAAGTCCTACACCTGAAGAATCTGAAGTTTCTGAGTGCCATGAGTAAGAATTATGTTTAACTTTGTTGGGGGAAGAATGGTAATGAAAATAAATTTTAAAATAGGATAGAAAAAAAAAGAAAAATTACAAATTCCATTTAGCTTTCAAATTTTTGGTTTTTTTCTGTACCTTTATGTATCAAAGGTATATCCGAAAAAAGAAAAAAAGACTGCACAGGATACTGTGTTCTCTTCTGTTCTATTCAGCCACATCTTTTTCCCATTGTCAAATAAAACAAACTGACAGAAGTTTCTAAAAATGTGAGTAGGCAAAAATGTATGACTATGTCAGACATTCTGGATATCCATTTTGAATCTCTAGGAAACAGTTGGGAAGGTGCAATTTTATTAAGGTCTTAAACACCTTTTGTACAAATCTTGAGGAAGTTTAGTTAGTTGAAAAAACTTACTTCTTGATGTTTCTGTATTAAACCTGACTACCTTGTTGCCTATTACATTGGCTAGTGCATTACAGATGAAAGAGAAGACCCTGAATGTATCAGTGATCTATGGTAGATAATTTTTAAAAATCAGTGCCAGTTGGGGGTATTTTAGTGGTTCTTTGATATCTTTTTCTGACTTTGTTTTTGATTAACAAGCACAAACTGCTGGTTAGAACCCCACAAGATTGTGGATATATCTGACCCTCCCTTCACAAGACTACAAAGTGTGCAGTCTTCAATAAAACTACATATTTTTCTAGCAAGTGACATTTAGACAAAAATATTCAGAGCAGTTCTAGAGAACAGCTATATGTACAGCTTATACAGGAATAGCTCATGAGAAATGTGTTCTTAGGTGGATGAAAAAGGCTTGCACTCAAAGGGAAAGTTGCAGTATCTCAACTATAGATAGAAATGATACTTTCCCAATGCTGCTGTTTAAAACTAACCTTTAAATTCCTGATATCTGCAAAATCATCTTCTCAGATAACCTTCTTGCTTTCTTTTTGTGTATAAGCTCTTCAGTTCTCTCTCTCAACAAATCATAGGCAGTCCTATATATCTCTATAAATTGAGAAGATGACATGCAGTACCTAATTTTCAAATGTTTAATATGGCATTACTCTTTTCTTAATGGGAATGGGTTATTTGCATCTAGTATCTCTTATTACATATATGTGCATATTTATGGAAAGATTAATATTTTAAAATATAAGCTTGAATATATGTACTATAAAATATGAGCCTGATTTTCAGAAGTAGATGATGTTACTACCTTCCCATCCTGGTTATTGCTGTTTCTTAGTGTTATTATACTGATTTCAGTTCCCCCTGTCCCAGTGTTTTAATTGCTTAAATCGTTCAGTTGTACTATTGCACTTAGTAGTGGTAACTTCATTGATTCCCACAAGTTTTTGCATTTTGATGAACTCCTGAAACATTTCTCTTCATTTGGAATGGAACACTTAAACCAAAATTCCCTAATGAACCATGGTATTTAGACTGAAACCACAGCAATTTGGAAAAGTATCTTCAAGATCTAGTTCTATTTAAGAAATATTAATTGAATATGTCAGTACTTCATATGTCAGAAAATGTTTTCATTTTTTTCCATGTGTACAGAATTGCTTCACCTCTTCCTTTCTAGGAAAGCTTTTTATACATCACAGAGAGGAAATATCTCTCTGAGGATAATTGTGTTGAAATAAAATAACATTCTAATTAGCAAAGATGATGAAAATCAGGTCAATTGCTGAATGTTGTGCCACTATAGGATATAATTCACTGAGAATTACACTTTACCATTGCAAAGCTTGTTTCCTCTCTGCTGAAGGCTGATTATGCTGCACTTGGCAGTAAGTAATAGCTTCAAATGTATGTTCTGTGTGACTGGGAATCTCTACTCCTTCAATTGCATTTCCAGAGTAAATCTGTTAAAATTCTCTCTCTCTTTTCTCACTAGAAGGAAGCTGAAAGTTAATAGTTCAGTTTGACAGTCTTTTGTTGACTGTAAATACATTTTTATATGCTAACAATTAAGGAAAACAGCTGTTTTATCAATCTAAAGAGCTTTATGAAATTGCTGATAACAAAACATACTTTCCACATGACATAATTGATTACCAATACACTTCAAATGTTGCCATTGAAGACCATAGTAGTTTTACTAGATTGTGAAGCTGGATACAATATCATGCTATAAAATACTGATTTTCTTACTTGCTAAAGAAGCAAAACTTAAACTATTTTGTGATGAACTATTATAAATGTTTATATAAGTACAGCTTTAACAATAGAGAAGTGTTGTGTGTAAAAAAAGAGAGAGGCAAGCTAGGAGAAATAAGCATTATGCTTTTTTAAATTGTTCTTTAGAATTCCTAAAATTGATTTTTCAGTGGCTTAAGAATTTCATTTTGGATCCACAAACAGTTTCATAAATATAAAAGGATCAGAGAATTGTTCTAAATAAGTGTGCTGTTTCAGGAGAGACTTCTAACAATTTTCACTTTGTGACAGAAAATGCAGTCTTTTAAATCCAAGAGCGCTATTGCTTCTCCTGCTAAAAACACCAATTGTCTCAACAGAGTGTATGATGATATCGATGCTGTGTCTGCATCAAGTCCACTGCAAACTTCTGTGAGGAATGCCATTGTTGAAAGCCAGCAAGTCTTGTCCAAAGAAGATTTTCTGAAGTTGATGCTGCCAGACAGCCTCTCTATGGAGGAGGGGAGAAGAAAGGTTAGCTACCTTCTTCAGCTCTGTGTATCTCAGACACAGTTACCTTAGAAATGAATTTTTGATGTTCCAAAAATTACTATAGAAAGCAACATCATTTTGTACAAGCAAGATATATTCCACTGGGATGCTATGAATACTGACCATAAGTGCCAAAATATCATTTTCGACAATATGAAAATGGTATCTAGTTTGATAATTATGTATGAAATACAGCATTTTTAAAGTATGTCTTTGCTTAGTTTGAGCAGGAAGGTGCAGGTTGAGCTACTTAATTGTAGTTTCAAAGATTACAACTAACATTTTCAAGGTTAGATGCTTAAATTTATGCACCTCATACGATATTAAGGCACATGAATTGAAATAGCCCACATTCCTCTGCCCTGTGATACTCAGTACCAATAAATCTGAAGTCTGAATCAAACTTTCATGTAGGAGGTATCAGTGGCAACTGCTCAAAAGGCATAATTGTCAGTGCTAGTGGAGAGCATACATCTAATCTTTACAGTATGAAGACAATCGGTAATATTTAAAAGTTCACAAAAACATGGATAGAGAACTTTACTACTCCCCAAAGTATACATGATTTTGAATTCTGTGCTTAATGTAGAATAAAACACAAAGCAATTAAATTGCTTGAGATCATTGATATTAACTCAATGCTCTCTTAACACACTGTGTTTATACAATGTGCTAAATAGCATAATCATCATGGCTGAACAAAAGCAACACATGGGAATCCTCTAAGTGCAGAGTTGAATTTAAAATTCAGATCATATTTTTTTTAACATGCGGTATGTTAAGTATGCATGTTATGTGTTTGAATTCTCATGAATAATGTTGTAGAGGTATTTATGATTCATTATTGATGCAATAATTGGTTTTCTGTGGTGATTTCAAGAGCTGCTAATGTTTCTGTCTACTTAAATAAGAAACAAGGAGTGAGGGGGTGTGGCCATCCTGAGATAAATTACTGCTGTCCCCTTCCCCTCTCAAGACACCCAAACAAAAGCTCATTAAATGAGAGACACCATAGCCCCTGACTTCCAGGGGATCCCCAGCTGTAGGGCTCGGCAGTATTCAGACTTTGATTATGTCTTCATAGAGGGTAGTAATCTTGGTATAGGTGAGAGAGTTGTCTTTGACAACAAAGCCAGGAAGGAATTTTCTGAGTATGTAAGATTCTACAGAATCGAATCACATGTTTGGTTTGGTTTGGTTTTACCTTCTTCATAGATCAGGGAATAATTGGGCACTCTATGTAATGTTTAATTTTTGTTGGTCCCTGAAAGGAACCTCTGTAAAGCTCCAACAATAAACATTCAGCACGTTAGGATAACTAGTGAACAACCTTTATAGACAGAAGATGCATTATAAAGTTGAGGAGACTTGAGTAACAGCCAAGAATTGCAGAAGGATGCTTGCTGGGAATCTTGAGTGCTGGAAAGAGTATCAGAGACCCATCAATTCAGAGGGTGAAGGCTTTTAACCCCTTCCCCAGTGCGGTCCCTAATTAGGCTTAGAGTCTTTTGATATTCTTTAACCACTGCTAATAGAATGATACCACATATCTGTTCCTTTATGGATATTGCTTATGTTTATTGTTATGATCACTTTACGTATGTGTTAAAATAAAGTTTTGAATTATGTTTATTCCCACAGCCCATATCTGTTTCAGGCATATCTCTAGAACCAATGTAGTATTTTGATGCTTTCCTAGATTAGAAGCTGAATATCTGCCTCAATTTTCTCTGGGACTCAGTTAAGCATTTTGACATTTGAGCATGTTCTGTATTATCATCAAGACAGATGCTTTCCCAAACTAGCACTATGAAGTATATTTAAGTATTTTGTAAAGACTGTGTCTTGTGGCATGATTGAGCATTTCTGTGTATTCCTTCTGGAAGTATTGATCAGTGAGCAAGTTTTATCAGAAATATTACAATGTAGATATCTTTCTATGCTATATTCACTGTTTTTAAAAGCTACTGCTCTTAAGCATACATTCTGAATAAGGAGTGTGCAACTCATAATTAATTACAAAGAAAACAGGACAGGACATTAAATTGTTATATGCAGGACAAACCAGTTAAAATAATTAAGGCAATAACTGACAATTGTCGATGTGAAGAATAACTGGATTTGCAGTACTGAAGAATGATTTATGAAGTGGAATGGCCCAGTTTTACAATACAGTAACATCTTGTTTTACTGTAGATATTTGGGTTATGGTTTAAGTAACTTTCTGAAATGCATAAACAATTTTCACTGAATTCCATTATCCTCTTTTCTAAGCCTATTTCTTCATATTTGGAGAGATGCAGTGTCTCAAATCATTTTTATCATCCAATGAATTATATTGCACCATGTATCAGTTCAGAATGTTTAACATTTGAAGTCCTTTCAAATTAAAATCAAACAGTTCTATGTATAGTCTTGAATAAATGTTGCCAGAGTTGGTAACCTTATATATATTTCTGCAACACATTGCTGTCATAAGGCTATGGAGATTTTATTTAGCATTTTAGAATTAATAAAACTATACAGTATCTGATAAATTCATGATGATATGTTCCAAAATATCAGGAGGAAGTATGAAAATCCAGTTCAGTAACTCCTTTGAGGCCCCAGTAGATCTGATACGGTGGAACAAATCTCTGATCTTCTGTACTAGCTCAAGACTTCCAGAGTGCCTGCCCAGAAAATTACTTCCAGGAACTGATGATGGGACATGATTGTGTGAATTATTTTAACCAGTAATACATGTTTTTGTATCTTCATATTTTGATGTTTAGTTTTCATTTTATGGAAACCTTTCTCCACGGAGGACAATTTACCGTACCCTTTCTGATGAGAGTATATGTAGCAATCGAAGAGGATCTTCATATGCTAGCTCTCGAAGTTCAATGCTAGACCAGGCCTTGCCAAATGATATCTTATTCAGCACTACCCCACCGTATCACAGCACATTACCTCCCAGAATGAGCCTGACTCCTGGAATGGGAAATCTGAGAAGTAAGTGATTGTTGCTGTCATTGCTGAGTTTGGATTATTTGTGATAAATCACCAAATTTTAAGTGAGATTTTACTTTTAAGGTGAAATTATGAAATGACAGATCAGTGTTCTAGATATCCTAGCAGAAGCATATTTGGTCAGCAGTACATGCTTGTGCTTGCCTTAGTGATCAATTCAGATTTACCATGTTTGGAGACAGAATTCACTTTTACTTTACAAAAAATTTTTTCATGAGACTAGTGATAGGCAACAAACATTTGTCAAAAGAAATTTTTTGTTATCATTTTATTTTCCAGTGGTGACCTAATTAAGCCACGCTGGCCTGTTTTATTTTAGTATTTTTATTTGTGGTTTTTTGTATGCATTCAAATTACTGAAATATTCACAAATATATGCCAAACCATATATTGCAATGACCATTGCAATATATATACAGCAAACAAGCTAAATGAGACAGCTTCTATTTAGATGATCCTTTTGGTAACATTTTAAAAGAAAATGTGCAGTAATTGTTGTCATCATCTCCAATTTCAACACTGAATTAGCTGATACTTTTTTTTTAACATGTTAGTAAAACCTTTGCAAATAACATTTCATTTTTCATGGCATAAAAAGGTGCTAAATTAAAACTATTTTAGGTGTCTCTTGTGAGGCCTTCATGAGCAAGATCTTTATTATATGCTTATCTTGCAATAATTTCAATATGGAGGGATGAGCTATAATGTTTATAGTAATTTTGTGGAAAAAATGGAATAAAAATTATGAAAACTATGAACAAAAAAGAGGAAATTTGAAAAATATGTCTGCTTGTATATCACAGGCCAAATCTTTGCAAGCAGATACATATCTTTAGGCTACCTATCCATATTTACGTATTTAATAAGAGTGAATTGTTCTTTAAAAAAATGCTAAATATCTTGACTTCTCAATTATTTTAGGCTGACCTATAGGGGATACCCAATCTGGGGAAAAAAAAAAAAAAAAAAAAAAACTACTTTAATATTGCGTCACAGCTGACCACAATTTAAAAAAACAGTAAAGCAATTGTGGACTCTGAAGTCCATAGTGAATAAGATGTGGGTGGATTTCTTGAAAACATTAAGGACTTTTGTAGGCACATATCCAGAGAGAATGCAGACAGATGGCTTAAAAGAAAGTAATAGAAAGGGCTCCTTCGTTCATCGTGTCCTTCAGGAACTAGCAGTCACTTGCTAACTTTCAGAAGTAAGCCTCATATACAATACATTTTTCTTGTTATAGTGGCCTCAGCTATGAGACTGAGTTTTAGTCACTAACCACTGGTTAATTTTAAAGTGGTTTTGCAAACAAGTGCTAAATACCTGCTTCAGATGGGAATGCATGCTTGGTGTACCTTTTGCCATTCTAAAAATATTCTTCTATCAGAGTGAAACTCTTTACTATCAATTTAATATTAAAAGATCCTTTGCTTTTTCTGATAGAGAATGAAGACCCATTTTGTTTCATTTGAGACTAATTCAGCAGATTTTGTAGTCTATAAAGGAGCTATGTATATAATCAGGCAACCCGATTGGTTTTGGTTTTATTTTTTTTTACTATGTTAGGCCTGTGGTTTTAGAGCAATTTCTTGTAAAAAGTAAATGTGCAGTGGGTTCAGATCTTCAGTGTTCTTTTATTCTAGAGATTGACAGAAGGCAATTAATGCTGTACACTCAAAATGTATACTGCTCTTCCAGCAGTGAAATTCTAGTGATTAGTGTATTACTTCTGTTTTAAACACCTTATTTTCCATTCTTGCTGCTTCTTAGATATAGAAAGTTATTTCTACACATAGCTGGGAAAAAACATAAAACTAGTATCCTGTTAGTCAAAATGAAGCTGATTGTATATATTCATGGTAGTTCATGCTATTTTCATACCACAACCTCTGTTTTCTGCTTCTCATTTTGTATTATAAAAGTTCCTTTCAGTGCTAGAAATACAGGATCTTCTTTCTGTGATGGCTCTTTGAAGGAAGATTTAATTGGATATCTGTAATTGCACTCTGAAACAAATATATCATCATTTGCCCACTCTTGTTTTCAAAATAAGGCTAGTCAGTATCTCCATTTAAGAAACTAACTTGGCTCTTGATAGCAAGTTTTTTGTAATCACTTCATAGCAGGTATTTACATTCTATAGCAGTGGTTTCTTTTTCATGTATAATTTTAGCTTGAGGTTGTAGTTTTAGATACCAGGATTCTTAGCTGTCATAATAATGTCTTTTATAAAATGCATATGTTTATGATCTTAAAACATTTTCATTCTATTGATATTTATTGTTTACTGAAATCAGTGGAAGTATTGTGGTTTTGGCTGGAATTAATTTTAGAAAGATACATTCTTGCATGTTATTACATGAAATATTGTGGCAACAGCAAGTCTTCTGAGATCCTTCTAGCAAGGAAAAGAGTGTGATTAATAGGTAAGCAAGGCAGCACCAAAACCAAAGCATAATAAGCAAGCTGAAGGGTTTCAGTTTACTGCAGAAGCAGAGTTATCAGCAAAAATGACCATGCAGGTATGGAAACAGAAACTCAACTGTGCGCAGTGTTGACTGTGGGAGAGAGATGAGAAAATGAAGCTACATTTTTTTATTATTATTATTTTATCACTGAGGGGAGTGAAGTGAAAGAAGACGGGCTTTCAGTAAAGCCTAAAATGCAAGCTCTGTCAGTTGAGTGCTGTTGATTGCACACAGTACACAAATGCAGAAAGATTTGTTTCATTTCATCTTATTTTTAACTTAAACCAGAAAGCAGAACTCGTGTAGCTGAGAACCCTGGAATTTTACCTTAGGGACATTAGAGATTCCCTAACTGAGACAGTGCTGTTCACGTTGAGTGACTCTAGCATGCCATACATGGTTGCAGGTACAAATCTATCCCTGTCTTGCAAATTCATGGCAGCTTGAACTAGCAGGGAAAGAATGAAAACAATGAGAACCACTGATACAGAACTAGCGTATTATCACAAATCAGAAACACAGAAAAACACATGGAGGCAGTCTGACTGACATTGCAGGCACTGTGTTCCACTCCTATTATGAAATGGGAAAGAAAAATTCCCTAAGTGTGATACACTGGCATGACATTCCTGTGCTGCAAGGAAAGGAGCAAGGTGCAGGATACTTGCAGTGAAGAGGGTCATAAAGAAGGGAATATTTTGCAATGATACACTATACAAATTCTGAAAGCTCTTAGATTATATATACCATGGGGAAAAGGCTGCCAGAAGTGCAGCTGATATATCTGCACTGATGTTACTAGATGAAAGTCTATCTTAAAATTGGATTCTACCAGTGTTAGCTTCAATCCAAAACTAACCTCACTGATAAGAAGCAATATTAAAATGGAAGACCATCACTGTGTATTGATGATGTACAATATGAACAATTTAGAAATCAGTTTTTCAGTAAGCAAATAAAGGCTGTTAATTAAGTAATTCACACAACCAAAGGATTATATATATTGTCTGTTACAGACTCTCACACAGTGAATAATCCACCTTACCAGAACATGAGACTATTTTCAGTAACAAAAGGGAAAGGAAAAGTAGTTGTTGGGAACACATGTTCACTATTCTAACAGTTACATGAGCATAAGTCTGTGATGTGGTCTACTAGCAGGCTGGCATCTTTGAAGGGAGACTTGAGGCAACCCTAGGTAATACTGAAGAAGGGAAGGGTTTGGCAGGCAGAAGCTGTTGTTTTAAGAGGATCACAGAGATATAACTGGTGATTGCAGGAAAGAAGAAGGAGGCAGACAGTAGAATTTTTGTCTCCATATGACCTGGTACATTCTTTCAGCTGCAGCATCTTTTGAGATAATCTACTTGTTAAATGACATGTCTAGTTTGAGCACACTAAGTGAGGAGTACCTAGCAGATATTTTTAATGATCTACAGTCTCTACATAAAAGTAGCAGTTCCAACTGGAGCAGGATACTTGTCTTCGAAGTAGAAAATGTTAAGGCAGATGAATCTTTGTTCTTTCTGTATAACTAGTTACTCTTTGAATGCAGAGGTGTGTGGGACTGATGACAGTTAATTCAAGGAGCTCTTCTGGAAACTGAACTGACCATATAATTTTATTGAAAATAAGAGCTCTTCAAAATGCTATATACTTTTATGTATCAATAATAAAAATAAAGAAAATTCTAAGTATGGGAAGAGAGTGAAAGGACCAGAAACCACAAGGTCAATGGGTTTGTGCCAAAAGGAGTACAGCAAATAAAATAATCTTTAAAACTGAAAGATAACACCTAAATTTTTTCCTCAGAGGAAATAAGGGGTAAGTCTGTGTGGCTTCAAAACCTATCTTGTGGGCAATGAAGATAGCGGTTTACAAGATTAGGCATCTCTTCCTGGACACACAGAGGTGAGCATGCTCAAGCATAGCTTGCTACCTTTGCACAAATCAGGAGGCCGCCTGCAGTTGCTAATGTGGCAGTCTTACAGAGAAAACGTGCAGGTAATAGTGAGGTAAGAAGAGCAGGGAGGAAATGCAAATACAGGAGGCTAGAAATAATTTATCTCACCCAGAGCATTCCTGAAATACAAACAGTATTCTCTGAAATTCAAAAGCACAGAGACCTATATCATTAGAGCTCCTTTTTTTCTTTCTTTTTTTTTTTTTTCCCTCCCCCCACCTCCATTGCACAAGAACACATAATTTATATCTTGAAAATGAATTATTCTATGGTGGCATACTCATGCCTGTTCAGTTATTCCACTTATAATTTCAGCCATCAGCATGAGCACTTGTGCTTTCAGAGCTGTCAATATTCAAATCTCCATGCTGGCAGGCTTTCTGCATTTGAGTTCTCTGTCAGGTCTTATGCAGGACCAAGTAGGATCCACTCTAAGGTGAACTGAGGTTCTCGCAAAGACAACACATAATGAAGGATGGCTGCTGGTGAATATATCACTCCTACACTTTAATTTGGAAAGTCATCAGAATCGCACTGGGAACAGACATCTTCCTGACAGGTTTCACAATCAGCCTCTGTAGGCTGATGACACAAAAGCAAGAGCTGTCCCTCAGGGCCTGCCTGCTGGTCTAGAACCAAAGGTGGCTTGCCAGCCTTTCAGATAAGACTTTCTGCCTATTTTCCACAACAGGGATGTATAAAACATTTATACTTGCATAAATAAGATTCTGTAATTCCCAGGTCATATACAAAAGTTCAGAAACTGCTCTGATGTTGAGCTTCCAATGTATTTGCACCCCAAGGTAACCTTAGATAAGATTTTATGTATAAGAAACTGAAAATAAAATCTTAGTACAGATGTATGGGTAGAATGCATATTACATTTCCATTTCATATCGCATCTACTTTTGCGTATTGAGTGGATATTGAGAAAGATATTTCTACAGGGGTTTGTCAAGCCATTTCCAGTTGTAATATAGTGATACTGCAGCTTTCATATAATTTGTAGAACAAGATAAACTCCAAGGTAAACAGGATTTCTACCTCTTCTGCATTGTTTTTGCTTTGTGAAACTCCTAACTTTGGACACCTTCATTTTCCTGTTCCTGATTTTTTTTAAACTAGCTTTCTGCAAAGAATATAATATGCTCTAATCATTGCCTTGTGCAGTAGAATGCTCTGTAACAGGCTACTGCTTTGGGATTTTTAGGTTAGAAATCTTTAATTCAAATAGACTTTGGTATTCTTTTTCATTGGTATCAGGACAATGACAACATGCCATTTTCTTAAACTGTAATGTATCTTTCATTTCTATGTCTGCATTTTTTCTTTCACTGATTTTTTTGTTTAGTGTTTTCCTGGTAAAATATTCCTCACAAACATTATAGTCTGAATCACTGGAATAACTAGATGGAAATTTCCTTCTGAAATATTTGAGGAAGAATTACTAATTTGCCCTTTTAATTTAATAGAAGTAGATACATCTGAAGCAAAATCCTTTTTCCTGACCATACTTTGTAATAAAAGTACAATATTGTGTCTCTAAGTTTATGGTTAAGATGAAATTTGAGTATAAATAATGTATTTGGTTTATATTCCGTTTTAAGAACCTCTGTGTGCCTGTTCAGCAGTATTCATTTTAATGTGTTCACATTAATCAGAGTGAAGATTGCTATAGATAGATAAGGAAAATATAAAATATTTTAGATAATTATGAAAATTAGCATCTCCTCTACAGAGATGTGAGTTTGTGGTACCTTTCTAAAAGACTGCATAACTGAAGCTGTGTTTGAACTAACTTTATAGTGTGTACATTTCAATTAATATGCAATCTATCTACAGTATACAGTGCATTACAGCTCACTCTGGAGCTTAGAGATCTGCACACAAAGTCTTGCATCCTCAGATGTACAGCTGCAAATATTAAATTAATATTTAAAATTTATATTATTAATATAGTATTTTCAGTGTGAAAGTCAGTTTTGGGTATAGGCTAGAATTTACAAATGCATTAAAAGAAAAGTAGGTGATTTTTAAAAAATTGCTTCTGGAACTGAAATATTTAAGATTCAGAATAAATCTGCATGTAAATATGTTTCACAGCCCTCTTAAAAATGTAACTTTGAGTATCTAGCAACTTTTCTGCTCAGTGCTCAGGTTAATATGGTATGCTTCAAGAACGGATGCTGCCTACTAACACAGCATTCACATGAAAATGCAAAGAACACACCATGTGCAAAGTGGCACAAAAAAACCCCTTTAGAAACCCTTCCCATCTTATTCTGCCCACATTTAAAAAATGTTTCACCCATACTGAGTATTGAACAGGAAAAGACAGAAACAAGAAATTAAGATAAGCACTCTTGGCTTATACATTTATTTATAGTTCATTATAACAGCTTCAAAATTAATTGTACACCATTGTTATAGGAAGACTAATTATTGTGTTTATTGTTTAGATGAATTCTGGTTCTCAGATGGGTCCTTATCTGATAAAGCCAAATTCAATGATCCTGGCCTGATGCCCCTGCCAGACACTGCCACAGGGCTAGACTGGTCCCACCTGGTAGATGCTGCACGAGCGTTTGAAGGTAACAGGAAAATCTGAATAAAGATCAATGTTCAATACACACATTTATTTTTTTTTAAATATATACTGTATAGACAAATTTTGACTTACAAAAATCCAGTGTTTGCCTCCATAGCCCTTTAGTTCTTTCGGCAGTATCACTTCTCAGTGCAGAAGATTTTAACTGAAAATTTGGGGTATTCATGAAACATTCAGTATCTATCTTAGATACAATTCATCCACTTAGGGACTGAAGTTCATTCTGTAGTCAACTGGAAAAATCAGGTGCTTTGAAAGAGAGATTCAAAGCATTTAAGTTAGATGTTCAAAGTGAAACTGGGAGTAACACTTCCCTGAGTTTATTGTGTTGCATTGTATTTATAAACTTGTGTGTGTAGTCCAAATGATGATGCAGTTTTCATAATATGCCCTTGAAAACCAGCAAAAATGTACACTATATTTTCCAGTAGCAGAACTTGAGGTGCAGGCTATAGGTTTGCATTATTAAATTATAAGACCAGGGTAACTAAGAAAAAACATTATTTGCTTCTCTGAGAGCTAAACCTACCCTTAATGTACAAACACAGAAAGGTGGATGTTGGTTTGAGTATATATATGAATATATACAGTTGAATGTTTGTGTTTTATTGTCTCTGAGGGGTGTTTTGGTGAGGTTGCTGTGCTGTCCTAAAATTTCTGACATTTCTTGACTGGTGGTATTCTCATTAGTGAATGTAATGGGAAGTCAGAGGTATCTGTGAATAAGGATGACATTACCAGTCATCATTGTGTAAGGTACAGGACATAACTTTATGAGAAGAACTGGTGGTGAAGTTAGTCATGAGAAGTTCTTCTGTTTTTTTGACTAAAAGCAACCATGGGAATCAGTTTTCTGGCACCCGATTCCTTCCCGAAGTATGAAGTGATTAAATTCCAATTTGATCAAAAGCTCTTCAGAACTACTTACTATACTGATTTAAATGGCATTGTTAAAATCCCAGACCAACAGTGATGATTAGCAATCTAAAGTACGGTATTGTTTCTTAACCCGATTAACTGTATGTGCATTCTTTACTATTCAGTACTACTCAAACACGCCTGTTGTGGCTGGCAGGAACTACCATGACCTGAGAATCTGACAAATATTCCCACACATTTCGTGTTTGATTGTTCAGGGAACATCCTGATATTTGTTACTGACATCTTGAACAACTGAAAATAGATTTGAATCAGTAAACAATTAACTCTGTAACTTTGTACTTGAAGAATATTTTTAAGTGCTAGTAAAAAAATCTGAGTTTAGCTGACTAAAAGATCATTCTGTACCAGTTTATGCTCCTTTATTTTTAGCTTTCTTTGAAAACTAATACATTTTTATTCCTTTTACTACTTAATATCATGATGAAAATAATTTTGCTTTAGTAAATATTATATGCATGTATTTTCCATTTGAATTTGAAAGAGAAAGGTAGAGCAACATAGCTATCTATCCACAGTACTATGTCCTAGGGTGGAAAATATCTGTAGATAACATAAGACCAGGTGGTTTGATACATGAGAGAAATGTTTTATGGGTGGGGTGTGTGTTGAATTATCATAAGAATTTGAGTAGTAAATAACAATTAGTTATGTATAACGAGTATAATTATTTTCTGTTTAGGGCTCTGCAATAGAGGCATCTGTGTATATGTTAGATGGTTTATAAAATGTTTTAACAAAATTCATAGTTCTGCAATTTGCAATTTTTACAAGGAATGGAATTTTTAAGCCCTTGTTCAACTTTATCCCATGTCTTGCAATTTTAAAGTAATTTAAAAAAGAATAACTTATAGGCATATCATTAAAAAGTCACTGGGAGGGAACATGTTGGATATGAATTATCAGGTGCAGTTTCCTTATGTATTATAGTTTTTACTTAGGAGTTGCTTCAATTTATTATTTAAAAATAGTTTGGAACTACTGTTCTGCATTCTATCAGTGTGAAAAAGAGTGGATGGTTCTAAAGTTTGTCCACTTCTGAATATAAAACTGCTTTGATCTTTTTATTAAACTGGATGGAAATGTGATCACATTTCATATAGGACCATCTCAACAAATCCCAAACCAAACAACACACACATTCCCAACCCCTGCCCCAAACCTTCAGTGAAAAAGATCACAAATGGATAGGACTTGTTTGTAGTGATTTAAGAAATTGTTAGAGTTGTTCTCTAATTTGGCTTTGCCAACCTGATATTTCGAAGTTGTGTTCTGTTCTAGAACCTGGATACAAGACTTAATTTTAGTTTTTAATTTTTACAAGATCTTTTCTTAATGTCAGTTTATTAGAATTACTGATTTGATTCCAAGGTCAGGGTTTTTCCTCTGTGATCTCTCTAGATTGTATGTTGACAACTTACATATTTTGATCAGTTCAACACCCATAATGTGGGCATCACAATCTTTCATCAGTCTGTCTTATAATGCAATTGTGTCTCAATTAGTGTTAAATAATGCCTTTTTAGGTGTTTATAATGTTGACATTAGTTAAAGAATTAAATACAGTAGTAGGATTTTTGCTACAGTCGTCTGTACTCAGAGTTTACTCATGGGTATAACAAGAACAGCATCTTATTTTTAGCTCCCCCCCTCCCCCTCCCCCCCCAAAATGAACAGTTGACTAGGTTGTTTGTTAATCAGTATTAGCTTTTATCCAATTGAAGCCTTCATCCTATGTAGAACTGGGGTCTGTGAGGGTGGAGTAAGCAATTACTGAAAGTCATAATTGAAAGTATGATGATAATGCTTTTTATTTTGTGAGGATTTAATTTTCACTGCTTTTGCTTGGCAAGAACCTTTGTGGGAAGCTGTATATTTACTTCAAACTTTTCCTGAAAATCCTCTGCTATTCCTAAGGCAGTCTTCACAGTGCAAAGGAGAGCTGTGTGGGCATTAAATCCACAGGCTCCAGAAGCTCCACCAGTAGGGATTTTGCTTGAGCTGTGTCTGTTGAGGGTCAGTGTCCATAAACAGGAGTACAGTGCTTAGTAAGTCTTCACACTGCCTTCCTTTGCAGGACATAGTTTTGATTCTGATATTTATCCAGAGATCATCTTTAACATGCATGCAGTCAGTAGCAAGGGATATCTTTCCATTTCTTTCATACATGGATAGGCTACTTCCAGTTCCCTTCTCTTATTTTGATGGGAGCTGCAGAGAGACAGTAACCAGGGAGCAGTTGACATGCCAGAAATACATTGTTGTAGTATTTTTGTATCCATCCCTGAAGCAAACAATAAAAAATAGATAGAACAGGATGTGACTGTAACAGCAAAAGAGGTAGGGCTTTAGGGAGGGCAGTTGGTTTGAAAAAGGAGAAGCAAAAAGAAAGAAAGCATGTTGAACTGAGCAAAGATAAAGACGGGGCGTTATAGAATAAATTGGAAAGCTGAATTAGGAAGAGGAGAACAAAGGAATCTCAGAAAATGGTAACAGAAAATGACAGAATGTATTTTTTTAATTATCTTTTTGTATTGTCCTTCCAATAGATCTCCAACTTAGGGAGGAAGGACTGGCTTTCAACATGTGTATTATGTTGCTGATGACTAATTTTGTATCTTTTCAATGTTTTGGGTTACAAAAGGAGAAGCCTTTCCAGATGCCCCTATCTGTTACTATTATAGAAGAGAATTGACACAAACATAAATATTGATTATTATTACCAATAGAACTTTGTAGTATTTGTGCTACTTTAAACTGGGTTTATTGTGCTTGAAAAAATCTGTTCAGTGTTTGGTAAATGTTACTGTGGGAATTAACAGCCTAACAAAGTCCTTTTAATGCCTCTGATTTAGTTCATTAAAATAGGTGGTTTCAACTTCTGACTTTTTTTCCAGGTTATTTTTATGAATGTCTACAATCAGAATGAAGTGTTTCTTAATGCAAATTTATCTTTGCAGAAACACTTGTGCTACTATAATTAATATTATTTTATTACTTCGATTTAAAATCTTTACAGTAATGCAAGTAATGCCACACATAACATAATGAGAAAGAAGTGAAGCATTCAGCATGAGTGATAATTATTTAAACCAAATTAGTATGTTAAACTGCTAGAAAAAGAAAAAAATGAAATATTGAGTTAACATTTGGTCATTTCTAGTGCATGCATGTGTAACTCTTTTTGCTTCAGTGCATATGTCAGTGTATATTTGTGGGTAGACTTTGCCTTAATGATGAGAGAGCGGCTTCATGCACTATACTCATTTTAGCCTTTACTGCTCTGCAGTATATCAGAATTGTCTGGAGTTCTTTCTGGCCCCTGTTAGTGGTCTGGAACAATGAAAATCCAGATTCAAATTCCTAGTGGTTACAATTGTACAATTCTATTACTTTAAAGTGAGTCATAAATTTTGTCTCATCCTTGGTCTTGCTAAGTCAGCTGTTGCTTAAACTTCTGATATAAACACAATATATTTTTACACATGGTTTTCTACGCATGGGTCTTGTGTGGGGTTTGGCAAGGATGTCCCAGATAAAAATAAGAGCTCTGAGATTTACATGTATTTTCTTCTGTTTAGTATGCACATATCACTTGAACTGAATAAGAGATGTCCCTATAGTTTGGAGGAAGCAAAACTTATGTCTACAGCATCATAGTCAGAAATACACTTGATTTTTCTTTCAAGAAATTGTCTGTTGGTGAAGGTAGCTTTGATTTAATTTGTATTAATATGATGTCAAGCCAATTCTGTTAAGAACAAATAAAACAAAAATCAGTAGGAAGATTTTGCTCTTTGAATCACAAGTTCAACCTTCACCACAATTTGAGTTTAAAACCAGTTCTTATTTAAATAGTAAATTGGTGAAACTATTGCTGAGCATCAGTACTTAAAGGGAGATCAGGAAGATTTGGTATATGTACTAAAAAATAAAAATGTGTCTTTAAAACTACTTGAAAAGTATTCAAAGGAAAAATATTTTTCTAGTCCAGGATCTTGTTAATGTACTAGTTATTACAGAGATTTATTGTGTTGCTAACTTGTTTGGAGAATGATTCTGACACTAACCTGTCTTTTGAAAATTAAAGAACTACTCTTTGAAGAGCAACACAGACACTTCTGTTTATTAGTGTCCATTTAGTGACTTTTTATTCCTCACCTGATGAATGTAAGAATGTAGTTTCATATTTTATAAAGATAAGAATATTGGAAAAATATGTTTAAGTTATACTAGGAAAATAGAAAAGATTTAACAATTAATTTCCTACTCTTAAGTGTTAATAGTATTTTTAAATTATGTGGAGTTGAAATTCATTAAGGATTACACAAGAAAGAAAGGGTTAATCTACACATTATACTTCCTGGCAAGCATCCATGTTCTTATATTTTTGTTATATCTTGAAATAATATGAAATTTTTTAAAAATACTGTGTTTAAAACTGGTGTCATGGTGATTTCATTAACCTGCATGTACCTGTTTTTGCACCTGCTTTTATTCATCAAGAAAAAGATGCTTTCAAATCCTGCTGGGGAGATCAGACTGGCAAAACAGTTTTTTTAACTGACAAAATAAACCAGACAAGCGGCCATTCTCTTTAATTAAGTTTAGTTAGCAGAGGGAGAAAAAGGCAGATATTTATATTACAGCAGAATTGCTTCTGGGACACAGTGTTACATGTCACGTATTGTTGGCATAGAACAAATAGCAACAGTATAACATTTTCTGCTGGCTTTGTTTTCTTCTATCAAGTAATGAAAATGTGAACAGTATGAAGTTGAAATCAATAATTAGATATGTACTTTAAACTGATTGTTTACAAACTCTTCTTTCTGGCCTACATACCGTCTTTGATCAGGGACACTAGTTTTAGTTTATCTGTACTAACTAAATCTGTTCAATTTTAGAAGTTTCAAATCTGTAGATGATGTTATTGAATATGCATTGAAAATCATATGCTTACCTTATTGTCAGCACGTATGAAAACATCGTGTTCGTATTTGCTGAGATCCATCACTAGTCAGAAATAAAGAAAAAAAGCAGGGAAAATTAGTTGTGGTCTTTAAAATTAGAGAAAAAAATGACATGCAACTTTCTCTGTTGTATTATGGAGTGAATTGTCAATCTTTGCTATTCCTTAAAACTATTAATTTAAAAAAAAAAAAATCCCTTTAAAGAGCTTTTTGGTGATTTCCTTTTTTTTTAACTTTTAACCCCAAATTTCCTCCTAGTTAAAATGATCTGGTCTGTATTTGCTCTTTGGGTGCTTAGCATTTGGAGGCTTGTCTTTTTATGTATCGCACCAAGTTGACATGCTGTGTTGCAATACTGGGTATTACTGTTACAGACATGGGGCGTGACACTTTCCTGTAATGGTGGTGGTGTGTATAAATGGCATTGCAAGGCTGAGAGTGGGAGCCAGCATGAGTTGCACGGGGAGTATCCATCCCACTGTGTGCGCTGTACGTGAAGGACACAGCTGCTCTGGTGGAGATGGACTGTCTTGTTTATAGGAACATTCTAAATCTTATTCCAGGTTTTGACTCAGATGAAGAATTTGGGCCGTTCTGTCATCACACGCCGTTTCTAGGTGATGGTCTGGGATTGATGACTTTTGCCTTTTGTAAACTTTCTTTAATATTTCCTATGTTTGCACGTTTGCATGATAATGCAAGCTTTGGGACCGTGGGGTGGTAGAGCAAGGGGAGAAAGGGCAAGGCAGGCATGTTGTCTCCAGAATTTATACAAGACTACAGACATGGATTTTGTTTGAAGACATACGTTAAATCAAACTTCACAGAATATGGATTTTATTTTTTTTTTTAAAGAAGACAAATCCTAATGAATGCATCATTTACTCCTGTTCTGTGCAATGATGATCTGCATGGCATACTTCTATTATGTGGTGACTGATGTATTTTGGCAACCACACTGTATATCCATAGGTAATTACATCTGTGTTTGTTAGATTATGTTCTAGTGGAATCCAATGTAGATAATAGCATGCCTTAGTACTATAGATAACAAAACACCAATCGATAAAAACAGTGTGAATTTATTGTTTTTCAAGTATGCAGATTACCATTAGGTTCTGCAAATGCTTGAGACAGTAAAACAGTACGAAATGAACAGTACAGATTTCTGAGGAATCTGATGGCTTAAAGTCCATGGAAAATGCAAACCTTTTTCCTGAATTATTATTGTCATTGATTGTGGCCCTGAATTAAGTGCTTTTCTGCAGATTTCATCAAGACCAATTTACTGTTCATATCATTAACTGGTCCAAACAAATCTGTCTTACTCTGCTGACAGACACAAAAAATTTCTTTGGGGTTGCCTTTGGATGCAGATGTGGGGAAGCCAACTAGCTGGAGTATACTTTACATCTGCTGATTATCTTCAAAGCTGTGATGTAGAAACCTTACATCCATTTCTCTAACTAAACAAGGATAATGGTTGTATATAGCCTTTTATTTTGTGCATATGTCCAGCTTTAAATGTATCCTTACGTTACTTTTTTACAGATCAGAGAGTAGCATCATTTTGCACCTTGAATGATATGCAGCAAGCTCAGGGCTTGGAAGGAACACAAGAGTTACCTTTGGATGAGAGTCCCACAGATGGAAAAGATTTCCTTGAGGCTACTGGGTATGTCAGAATTAAAGTGTATTTCTTACAAAAATATTTTAAGAAAAAATTTCTCTTAATGTTGCATGTTAAATTGCCTGTATGCATGTTTCACTACAATTTGATGGCAGACCTGTTACCTTGACCAATCATGTCTTTAATTTTGAAAAATGATCTTTTTTGGAATCAACCTCAGCAGTTCTATCTAGAAAATGTGTAGTATAGTCAGATAAAGCGCGCTCAGTAGAATAGGCCTCCAATGCAAAGTACTGTTAGGTGCAGAGTTTCAGCTAGTCAAATTTTTCACAGTATTTCTCCTGTACAATAATCATTTGTGTTATGCTTATTTCTATTTTCATCTGAATAGATCTGATAACAGGAACTCAACTCAGTAGTATGCAATAATCTTATCTGCACTAAATGTCTCTGACCTTGGAAGAGGTGTTCCTACCTATCTTTTGCAACTATTTGCTACTTGCAAATCCATAATTTTTCATTTATACAGAGGTAAATTAATCAAGAGAACCTGTAACTGAGGACTGCAGGAAACTTATGACAAACTGCCCAATTCTTCAAATTCTCCTCAGTGCTCTGGGAGAGATTATTATCTTTTTTTTTTTTTTTCTTCTCCCCTCCCCCATCTTCCCTGCTATGGGGAGTATACTTCTTAAAAACACAGATTTAGCAATATAATCTGTCCACTAGCACTCTTTAAAAGAAAAACACATCTTTGATTAGTTTTGGTCTTCAGCTGCAGGAATGGAAGAACAGGAAATGGAGGGAAAATTCTTCTTGATTGTTAGACTATCACATTTTAATTTGAACCAATTTTACACAAATTTACTAACCTGGTAAAACACGTTTATTTTAATGACTTCTAAATCCACACCTTTCTTCAGCCTAGTGATCAGTAAGGACTGCAAAAGACTATTAAAGATGTTCCACTTTTAACATCAGCAGATCAGTCAGATTTATGCACTTGCATGAAGCAGCTGATTCAGTTTTGTCTATGAAGCTTCTCTCTACAGCATCTCTCTTCTAGACAAAATGATTCACATTATGGTTGATTTAATCTATAACGTATATGAAACTGTCTCTCACAGTGCTTACTGTCAGACAGGAAACAGAAGCTATTCTCAGTATTTTCCTTCAGTCATGCATTTGATTAACCTGTGGCAATATTTCATACGTTTTGACCTTTAAACAAAATATTTGTCTCCATAAAGCCATAGGTTTATCCTTTACTAGAAATTAGACAATTGCAGATCAGACAAAAGAACTCTTAAAGGCACTTTTGGTGTACAATAATTGTTGCTGCAGCTTGCTTCAGATTAGTACAGTCCTTATCAGAAAGCAGCTTGTTAACAGATGTGCTTGGCACACTATTTAGCAGCAAGTTTGACTTGCACTGTGAGAGTATGTGCAAATAATTCCTAAAACATTTCCTCTTAAAATCATTTTATTTCTGTCTGGTTTGCATGAGAGGCAGTGTCATATTTCAGATACTGCAGCAATGGGTTTATGTTTCAATAATAGCCTTTTGCTGATGCTGGTATTGTCTGTGTTTCCCTAACTGCCTAAACTGATTTATTTCCTCTGCTATCACTCAAAGTGTTACTCTGCAAAAGCTGGGGGAGAAAATGTTTTTAACTAACCCAGAATGAAGGTAGTGGTTTCCTTTACAGGGAACATGCTCCAAGTACTCTGACTGGAAAAGTAAACCAGCTAGAAGTCATCCTCCGGCAATTACAAACTGACCTGAGAAAGGTAAGAGATCATTAGGGAAATTATTATCCTCTGGCTTTAACAGTTCTATTTTTATTCAGAGTTCATCAAGGGCTTGAAAAAAAGTACATCAGTTAAAGTAGACAGTGTAATTAACGAATGGTAGAGCCCAGCAGTTGATCAGAACACTGAGGTGCAGAAGGTCCTGTGGAAATGGTTATGTGAACAAGCTGCCCCAAGGCTCTGACTAGTTTATGGGTCTTTACTCCAGAAAAACTGTCCTCATATAGTCATACCCCAGAAAGAATGAGGCACTTCATCTCCATTTGTGGTGCTCTGGATTTAACAAAAGGTAGGGATAGTCCATATCCCATATATGTCCAACAGGCGCTACTGCTAAGTAGTTAACACTCCAGTTTTGTTGTCCTTGTTGCCTTGTGGTATCTTCATCATGTAACAGTGACTTGCAGGAAGCATTTCTTTCCAGAAGGGGTTGTTGGGCGTTGGAATGGGCTGCCCAGGGAGGTGGTGGAGTCCTCATCCCTGGGGGTGTTTAAGAGTAGAGTTGACATAGCGCTGAGGGATATGGTATATTGGGAACTGTCAGTGTCAGGTTAATGGTTGGACTGGATGATCTTCAAGGTCATTTCCAACCTTGATGATTCTGTGCTTTGTGTCTTATTTACTGTCTAATTTCTGAGCTGAGACAATGCCAGGACTGGTAGAAATTAGACTGCTTTTGGTAAGAAAGCAATCATGTAAGGGAAAATGTTGAAATTAGGTATTTTTCTTTGCTAACGTATGCTTGAAATCAATTCCTTATGACTTGGGCTGTCACAAATGATTTGTAATAGCTAAAAGCTTCTTATCCTTTTAGCACTTGACTTTTTTGTTAAGTAAACTCCTATATTTTTTTGTATTAAAGTATCTATTTTTCTTTTTAGCTTGCAATATTTTCTCTGAATGAGGGAGTTGGAACACATTAGGGGAATTAACTTACAGTTAATAGTTGTCAGAATGGATTAGGGAGCTCAACAAAACATAGCTGTATGACTTGCACAGAAATGTTAACAACGAAAAATGCTGTCATCATGACTACTCACTTTATTCAACTTGTATCTTTGTTAACCAGGAAAAACAGGACAAGGCAGTTCTCCAGGCAGAGGTACAGCATCTGAGACAAGATAACATGAGGCTTCAGGAGGAGTCTCAAACAGCAGCTGCTCAACTGAGGAAATTTACAGAATGGTTTTTCAATACGATAGACAAAAAATCCTAATGACTGGGCCCCCGGAAAATACTTATTTGAACAATGTAACAGCTGTATTTTTTGAATTAGCGGGGTAATAATTTCACTGTGTTCACAATCCATTTTAGGTGTTTCTGCTACATTCTCTATCCAGCTTTATTCATTTGAAAAGGAGAGAGAACTGTGGTAATCTGTCTTTAAATTCATATGAAGAAAGCAGAGAATAGCAGATATTTGTTTGTGTGCAGATGAATGTAAAGAATCCTTAGTGTCATTTTAGACATTTTTAGAAGATGCTCTGGCTGGGGCTTGCCTGAAGAGGAATATTTGGGGGTTTAGTTCCTGCATTTCAGGTGCGCTGGTGAAGATGTTAAAGCAATTTACATTAGCTTGGGCTTCAGTATTGTAAGATAAAAAGAATAACCAGACATATACTTTAATGTTTAAAAGGTGCTCTATTTTTTTGTATGTACAGTAGTTTTATTTCCACAGTCCACATTGTCATAGCAATAAGAATGGAGGTATAGTGAATAGTCACAAAGCTGTGTTTATAAAATGTTAGCACTGATGTGTTTAACACTAGTTTGGATGCAGATACATTAGAGATTATTTATTTGCAGGAACAAATGGTGCCTGAATATAAACAGTGTTCTGATTTTCTAAAAATACACATGCCTTGTAAATGGCTCACTGGGGTTAGCCCACTCCCAACTTCAGTTACTTTTGTATAGTTGATGTTCAGCTAAACAATTATACTGCTTAACTATTGAAATCATGTATGGTGTGAGCCAGCCAATCAATTGTACAATGCCAAATTTCTTTATCTTTGTACAGAAGCTTTGATCAAGTGTCTTGTATTTAACACCTTTATTTAAGCTTATTTAACCTTAAATTGTTGTTTTTATAAAGTTTGTTTTATCTGCACTATGGTGAGGTCAGTTGGTTGCAAGTTGTAATACTTTTAGCTTGCCAAGACTGTACTGAGGAGTTCTAGAAAATTCTAACAATTGGATGCTGCTAGTACACAATTGATTTGTTTGTATGCTTTAACATTTTTAACTGTTTAATTTGAAATGAACATACATCCTGCTTTTTTAATAAATGTTAAAAATCTAAACCTGAATTATTTCATCTTGTATTATCTATAATCACTGACATCAATAATAGCTCAGGTTTCTATTCAGCCCACTCTTTGGATTCTCAGTCTAGAGACAGTCCAATGCCTCCAGAACTCTCATGAGCCCTTGTTACCAGTGAGGGACTGTCAGCATTATCAAAGCTATTTTCTTTGGTGTGTCCTCTCCTATAACTGAGGAGGTGGCTTCATGGGTCAAGGAACGAAAGCTGTTTTGACTGTTCAGTCATTGATTAGTGACCCAGGACAAAAAAACCTGCTTAACACTAAAATATGTCCTAATGAAAGTTTTCAAAAGGAGTCTAGTTTTCTCATATTACTTTCCATTAGTTGTAGCAACAAATAGCTTGCCATTTTCTTGTGTCTGTAATTGAGGATCTGAATGCAGTGTTAGCATATGAGAGCTGTTTTATGTGTAGTACTGAGCTTACAGTCTACACCAAAAAAGCACAGTTTTGCAAAATGAAATGAAGCTAATGAGCACATTTGAGTTATCCATCTGAGAGGGGAAAAAAAAAACATTTCAAGATCATGGTTGTATCCCTGTTTCCTTTTAGCAGCTGAATGCATTCAGGCAAACTTACAGAAAATTGTTGAATAGTTAAAAAATATATTCAACCGATGCAGGTAAAATTCTGTGTCCATTGTTAGTGCACATCGTCTAAGAAATGTTCTGTGAGTTGAACAAATGTCTGCCCCTGCTATAACAATTGTTCTGAATTACTGCTCTTAGGCAAGGTTATACATGGGCACATAATCAAGGCCTTGGTATCCTTACATTCAAATGAAAAAGACTATTTTGTCTTTGTATTGTTCATCAAAAACTCTTGACTTTTACATACCAAACAATATCCATTAAGCTCTATTAACAGAGTAATTAAACATGGCAGTCATGTGTTACACTAGATTCTGATTTAAGCACCTTACAGAAGTCATTAGCAAACCCATCTGGCTGGAGACCTTGCCAAATAACAGCACTGAACAACTTGGGCAATTTGTCTGTGAACATGTTTCTGTGAGGATTGGTTTGTCCACTTCAAAAAGCAGTGCTAACTGAAATGAACTTGAGAATTAGCTTGTTCTGAAGGCATACTATTAGTTTGTATAAGAGTTTATAGTCCAGTAGTCATTTTAGGTCTTTATCTCTGTTATTGAAAACAAACATTATTCTAACTACCTGCAGAAAAAGGGTTTTCGGTACTTATATTTCTTATTTTCCCATCCAATTGAAAACATTTTCTTCCCAAAATTGACAGAAAATTTTGTCTACAAATCTCTTACTCCCTTTGCTAACAAAAGCAGTTGTGTCAGAGGCACATGTTTCTTCCTTAAGTAATTTTCACCATGGGAAAACTTTTTCAGTCTGGCTGTTGCGTTTTAATGACATGTGAACACAGTATTTATCAGACACCATGATACAGTTTTGACAGGTAAAGGACATTTAACTGAACATTTTCATGAACTGTTTTTTTTAAAGAATAATCCTCTCAGAGGCATTTTGCTAGCAAAAAATACCTGTTTTAAACACGTGGTGGCAAAGGCTAAGTCTACATAAGCAACTAGTGTGGAGCACTAGGGAAGTTTAGTGTTGCTAACCCAGGTTTTGGGAGTGGGAGGAGATTTTTCAGGCTCTTTCTTGTCAAGTCCCATGAGCGGACATCTTTTAGTGGTCGAAATCGTATGTTAGGTGGTATCTGACTATCACAGAGCACAGAGCTTCCAGACAGAGCTGAGACCAATCTGTATGAACGAAAGCAGATTACATGGGGATGACTGGGAAATTCATTCCAAAGATGTGTTTGTGATCTGAATGAAAATAGTAATATGAAGTGATTTAAATGTCAGCAAAGTCCTCCCAGCACAGCAGGCTGTGCTGTGAAGTACTGAGATGCAGAAATCAAAAATGTGAGCCAACATGGGTGTTTACTTCTGTAAAAGGGACAAATACTTGGCAAAATTAAGGCAGAAGCAGAGCATTTTGTAAAAGTGGCACCCTAATTTATGCGTAGACCTTTATCGAAGGGATCCTGACTGAGACATTTCTCACAATGTGAACTATATTACGTATAGTTTTTTCTGAGACCATTATTACAAACACAAGGGATAATTTTTGGTATTTTTTCTGTTCTTGAGAGCATAGTCATACTGTGGTTTAGGCATGTGATAGCTTTATACAGAAGCTACCTATGTCTTCTGTGTATTATTTAATATAAATTCCTAGAGTAGTTCATCTTTTTTTGTGCCTAAAATCCAGTTATGTGGGAAAAAATGTTTAAAATATTTGTAATACAAACTAGCTTATTGTAGAGCTTAGGAAAACAATTTTCAGTATGGAAAAAAGAAGTGCTATGTGCGTTATATTGTGGCAACATTTCTTGAGCTCTCTGTGCTGACTGGTTCTAATATATAAGAAAGTCAGTGATACTCAGGATGGTATTGTACAAATTGAAACCATCGGAACCATTAGTTATTGCTGAAACATGTTGTTCAGCCCAGCTTCTCTCTTACACAGCAAAGACTAGAAGAAAAAGAATGTCTTTCAAATCAAGAGCTTGCTTCTGCATGTTTGGAAGCAGATTGTGCAAACTGAGAGGGAAAGGTATACTTTAGTAAACATAGAAATAAATTTGCCAGGAATATAAATCTTGATCTTGGCTCTTTTCTTTATGCACACAGGTTGTATTTTTCATTCAATTCCTTGCATTTCCTTTATTTCACTCCTTCACCATGTTCTGTCATGAAGAATACAATGGCACAGGAGCCAGAAGGATCATTTCTGCAGTAGATCCCTGGTCTGGACAGCCAGGGGCAGGTCTGTGTGGGTTTAGACAAAGCCATAGAGAGGCAGGGCCTAAATGTTTTTCAGTCTTTGCTCCTACATTGTTCTTCATGATGGATACAGAACAGAAAGTAAGGCAGGAACAAATCCATCCAGCCTTGAAAATGTAAATCTTTACTATTTTGCAGACTCTGAGGTCAGTCACTCTTACCGCAGTACTAGCTTTCTGAATCAGTTTTTGAGTCATGGGTAAAGCAAGCAGGCAAGAATGTATATTTCTAAAATAACTGTATTTTAGAACTGTATATGCAGATTTCCTAAACCTTCGCTAAGGAAGCAACTGGGGAAAAAAAAAAAAAAAAAAAGGGTTGGGGGATAGAGAGGACATTTTACTAGGTTTTGTTTTGATTCTGCTTTTGGACAGACAACCAACATGGCTGGCTGTTGCACCAACTTATGGGGACATAGCAGGACCAGAGAATGGGATAAACAGGCCAAATTGCTCATGGCCTTCCATTTTAGAAAACATTTGCAGGTTTCAAACATGTCAGTGTTAGAATTATCTTTATTTTTCATTACTTCTCTAGGGAAATAGTTTTTTATCCTCTGTTCCATTTTTTTTTTTAACATGGGCCTTTTTCCTCTGCTAACCATCAATATTTAAAGGAATCTTTCTATATGGTATCACAGAATTAAGCCAGTAGTAGCCATATTGACTGTGTCCTCATTGGAACAAACTGGGGCTGATAGATGAATGATACAAATGTGTTAGTTTTGCAGAAAGGCTATAAATCTGTTTCATGGTTTTTTGTGTCCCTGCTATACAATAGCAAATCATTAAATCTCAAAACCTGAAAAACAGCAGATGGGCATTTTCTAACCAATGTAATAAAAAAAAAAAAATAAATAAACTATTGAATATGCTGTTGATACCACTTCAGGTGTCATTGTGTCTAGACATCAGCTGGACTTGTTTAAAATAAATCTGAGGAGAGATATTGGAAAGTAACAAGACAAAAATTATGCCGTGTCAGAAAGTGGGACATGTGAAGTGCACCAGTAGAAATCATGGGCAATATGTGACTTGTGCTTTTATGATTACAGGTTGACCAAAGTCTAAAATGTTAATGAACTGGGAAATTTTCATGTAATTTGTTTATTTTTTGTAAATCCATTATTTGGAACCCAGAAAGCAATTGTGAGGATACCTCAGGAGAAACTTTTGGTGTGAGTTAGCCTTGACCAGAAATCAACAAGGTCTGCAGTGCTTAGATAGTTATGACTCAATGTCTAAGCAGTGGGACTTGGTTATACTGAACCATATTTAAAGTGTTAGAATCTCACTCCTTTTTGTCTTTGATTCCTGTTTTGAAACTGATGAAAGTGTGTGACTATTTGAGTGACCAAAGGTGTTAATAATAGAATAAATACGTGACCTGAGGATACTCCAGTACTAAATACTTATCTAGTCGTCTAAGTTTCTTGTTACCACTAACACTGCAGTCTTGCTTTCCGCTCAGGCATAACTTTGATAGATAATATTTGTGAAGAATTACTTGTGGAAACCTGAGATATCTGCATTTTCATCAACATTGTGTTTCTCCCTTAACACAGATATTTTATTCAAAATTATGGATGTTTCTTTCACAAACCCAAGACACAGCATTTCTTTTCAACAAAAATGTTTCTCTTGTGTGTAAGAACAGTGCTCCAGGAAGAAATCATAGAAAGATTTGGGTTGGGAAGGACCTTAAAGATCATCTAGTTCCAACCCCCCTGCCATGGGCAGGGACACCTTCCACTAGACCAGGTTGCTCAAAGCCCCGTCCAGCCTGGCCTGAACACTGCCAGAGCAGGGAACCTGTTCCAGTGTCTCAACACCTTCATATTCTAGCACTAGTGCAACTTTAAACTGTTTGTGCTCAAGGTTGTCTATCTTCCGCCACACAGCTCCAAGATTCTTGGCCTTAGCTTCCTTTGCTAAGACCTGTGTTTCTCCGTAGGGGTTTCAGTAAAAATAAGCACAAACTGAAAAGCTCCTTCCGACTTGCAATGACTTCATTTTCCAGGAAGCACAGGGTTTTTTTATAAAGGTGCAAGTATTCTATCTTATTATTCTCTATGCTGCCTTTGGTCAGGAAACTTAAAAAGGAACTTCAGCGTGGCTGAGCGCTTGAACAATTCAAAGCTTGTTTGCTGAAATGCTTCT